GGTAGGTACATATTATAAAATAGACGGATGATTACAGATACTTACATTATTCGCTTTTGGTATTGGCTACGCGCTACATATTTTTTCAGTGTGGATTGCAACAGAATGGCCGCATTCTCACGACGCTTTTCCAGCGCTCGTTCCTCCCGTGCGGCCTTCGTCTGCTCCAGGAAGCTACCTTTCTGTGATTCAGTTTGAGTGAACATTTTGTGCATGTGTATGTGTGTTTGTTTTGCTTGGTGTGGGTTTCCGTTTCCCTGTATGTTTGTTGCGTGAAAATTTCTTTATGCTGCACTTTTACACACTGTTGTTAACAGCACACACGGAGAATAGTACTCATCTTGAAGCTGTGCAGAGCTTAGTTCATTTTAAATGCACACCAATGACGACTTAATGACTAATTAATTAGTTACTAATTAACTTCAATCTTTACCCAATTTCATTTTTCGTTTGCTTTGATAGGGATGTTGATAATAGAGCTGCAAAATGAATCGATGCAGAATCGATTTAATCGATGTTTAGCATTTTTGTTAAGCATCGATTTTATTTGTTGAGAATCGATTAATCGTGTAAATTTAAATGAACACATTTGTTTCAAGGTGACGCTGAGTGGCTAAGCGGTAAAAGTAAAATTAATAATTGCCAAATAAATCAAAACATTACATTTTCTTTTATATTTTTGATTATATTGGTGTGTTGGTGGCTTGGAGAAGAGGAGGGAAACGGATAAATGGATAAATTTTTGAAATCAGGTAAGAATTTATGCCTCATTTAGTTAAGCAGTGAGGGGCACTCCGACATGTGACATATGTATGTATGTACAAGTATGTATGTATGTACACGTATATTTTATGCGCAAAACTGCACACATTTTTGTATATACATATGTGCAAAATAAATATGATTGTTACGCATGATTTTTGTTTTCTGTGCACATAAACGCAGCTTAGTTTTAATTAATTATTGCATTATTGTATGTGTACTATTTACATTGATATATTTTTGTATGTAAACCCTTTAGCGGCACAAGTATTTACATTTTTTATTTAATTTTGGTTTTTAGGTAATATCAAGGAAGTTGACGAGTCCGTGGAGCACAGTGGCAAGCGTAAGGGAAGGCAAAAGTCCGACATTTGGAATTTTTTTACAAGGCTGCCAGGGGGAACCTCTGCAAACTGCAAAACTTGTGGTTTGGATTATAGAACAGGTGGAAACACAACAATCTTGTTTAATCATCTATTGCGGGCTCATACGACTTTGTCCCATGAGTCGAAGCCTGTGGCGACCATAAAAACTTTCTTCAGTTCAAACAATTATTATGAAAACAATTCCGCGCATAAAAAGGAGCTTGACAAAGCATTAACCCGCATGATTGCCATCGATATGCAACCCTTTCGCATTGTTGAAGATCGTGGATTTCGTGATTTCGTTTATTACCTTAATCCAAGGTATATATTGCCCAGTAGGACAACTTTGAGAAACGTGCATCTACAAAATATGTACAACGAAATGAAAGAAAAACTTGTTCTGATTCTCAATAACGTAGAATACTGTGCCGTGACAACGGATAGTTGGACATCGCGGGCGAATGAATTTTATGTCACAGTTACTTGCCATTTCATAGACAAGAACTTTGTATTAAGAGAAGCTGTTTTATCAACGAACAAACTTGATATTGATACCGATCACACAAGTAATAAAATAGCTGACTCTTTGCGTGCAGTACTGTTGGATTGGAATATTTTATATAAAACTTCTACTATTGTTACGGACAATGCAGCAAATATGATAAAAGCTTGTGAAATTCTGAAGAAAAGGCATTTGCCATGCTTAACCCAAACCTTGTAATTCAGGATGTATTGGCAAGCGGATTGTCACCTTTTTTAAAAGCAGTTCTATTGCATATGCAAAATTAAAAGCCGCTCAAAATGATGAAAACCCCCTTAGCCTAATACAGGAAGTACCCACGAGATGAAACAGCTCATTCAAGATGATGGAAAGAATTATAAAATTAAACAGTAACATTTCTTCTGTGCTTCTTAGTACTTTAAAAGCACCTCATCCATTGACTGCGGATGACATAAATATAATGAAGGACTTAGTTTGCTTGTTTATGCCCTTTGACACTGCAACCACCCGGGTCTCTTCGAGCAGCATAGTTACAATTTCCGAAATAATTCCGACTACAGTTGATCTATACCATCGCTTACACAATGCAAAACTGGCACTTAAGACAGCGGAAGGAATAAAAACCTACAACTCTTTGATAGATGGAGTTAATCGTCGCCTTGCACCTTTTGAAAATCGAAGCGTAGCTCAACTTGCAACGATTTTTGAACCAAGATTTAAAAAAGAAGGGTTCGGTTGTTCTTCCACCGCCGACGCAGCAGGTTTTTTGTTGCAAAATGAAATTGCAGCTTGTAGTTCATACGAAAATCCGACTCCCGACATCGAAGAGCCACCAACACATCCTGATTATCCAAGCACTAAAACATCGCAAATTTATGCATTTGTGCAGGACAAAATAGCACAAAAACAATCAAGAACCCCGCAAGCAGATGGTATAATATTAGTGAGACAATACTTAGAAAAACCTCACGAGTTGCAGGGCACACCACCATTGGAATACTGGAAGGTAATACTTGTGGCATCTAAAAAACTTAACTGCTAATTATATTTTTGCAAATTTCAGACACATGTGCATGAAATGCAACACTTTCAAAATTGCATCTTTAAGTATTTGTGCATTCCAGCATGCTCCACTGCGTCTGAACGCATGTTCAGTAAGGCGGGATGCATCCTCTCTGACAGACGCGCCGCTTTAAAACCGTTTATTGTAGACCAGTTGCTGTTTACAAACAAAAACCAATGGCTAAATGAATAAAATTGATCTTATTAAAAATAAAATTTAATTTTTCTTCCTTAACGATTAATCGATTTTATTTTTGAAAAAATCGCGATTAATCGTAAAAGATCGATGCTGCCAACATCGATTATTTTGCAGCTCTAGTTGATAATCCACCAAAATATCGATATTTTTGTGTCAAAATTAGTCTGGACAGAGACTTGACAGCTCTGGTCGTAGAAACAAGCAGCTGCTGCAAGTTGGCAGCGCCATCCATCTTATTTGTATCGATATTCTAATAAAACACTTTTCTTTATACAAATCTTTCTAGCATGGAGTGAAACTATCCGCAAACAAGTTAGTTAGTAAAAACTATTGTCATTGTATATTGATTATGAGGCTACAAACTATTGTGGAATTGAGTCGAGCGCGCGCGCGCCATTATTGCTAACGCCGATTTTTTTTCATTTGTCATCGATATATGCTGCTTACATCTCTAGCAAACTGTTCATCGCCAGCCAGCACTTTCTACGAGCAATTTCGTGGTCGTGAATTATTAACTTATCTAGTGTAAAATAAATTGCCAAAAATGCATACAAATACTACCAGCAGATTCAGTTGTGTGCATATCTGCAAAAACGTGTGGCATGCGCATGCATGCGCCTTTTTGTGATGCAAATTTGGGCTAAGAAAAAGCTACCACTGGTAGTAGTATGATTCGCGAGACTTCCGCAGCGAGAGCGAGCAAAAACAAAATAACAAAGCTAAAAGTGCTAATGAAAAATACATACCTACACATATGTATATGTCGATGAGAAGGTGAAAATTATAAATTAATAAATGTGCGGTTCGATAGCATATCACGTTAGCTAAATATGCTCCTCAAATTTCGTGTATTGCGAGCAATCAAAACTGTGAATTGCAACATAAAATAATTTCAAGGTTTGCAGCAAAAGCAAGCGAATAGAAAGCAAAAGGTAATTGGAAAATAGAACGATTTTGGCACAAGCGCAGTATTGTAGCTACATATGTATGTATGTTGTTGTTGCTATTGCTGCTGCTGTTGTTAACGTATGTCTGACGCTGTCGGGTCGACCGTGGGTGGGTGGGGCGTGATTTGGGGGCCGCCGTTGTCGCATTGTGTGGGACCTACAAAACAAAACAACACATGCATATACACATATGTATGTACATAGGCACAGACAGAAGACAACAGTTCCCCAAAACGGAACAGAAAGTGAGTGTAATTGAAAGAACGTCACACAAAAACAATTGTGCATACATACATATACGAGTATATATATGTATGTACATACACATATATATATATATATAACTACATTTGTGCAGTAGGCTGTAGCGGCAGCGAAAGCACAACAACATCAAATAGGGGAAAGAGCAAAATGCCTATGACTGCCTGCCTGCCTTGTAATCTCATGTAATTTGCCGCAATTTTGCACATGCATGCGAATGCATCTATGTTTGTATATGTGTATGTTAGTGATGTTTGAGTATGTGTGAGCGCGCGTGCTTTGGGGTCGTGGGTCGTCGATTTGTAGCCGCGACGACGCATTGTCGCTTGCATGCAATGTCGCGCGGCGCACACACATTAAAACATACTAAGGCAGTCACAGAGGCCTTCCCCCAATATTTTTTGTTATACCCTGTACCTGAAGGGTTAAATTCTATACTAAATAGTCTTAACAGCACATATATTTGTAGCAGGCAGAATGAGGCGTGGCATGTATATATGTACATATGCATTTGCACATACATTTTAGTACATACCCATATATAGAAATTTTTTATAGTGCATCGTAATCTGGAGTTTCATCGAAATCAATGCATTATATCAGATAGCTGTTATTAGAATGTTAGTACAGCAAAGTTTCTTATAGTTGAGGGACTGTGGGCGGGTATATAACTACAGGGTATACAAGAGTCAGGCTGGCAGTCGTTTGATGCAGCTTCTTTTGGTTGTCAGAAAAAGGCGCGCGCTCGTCTTCTGCTCTCCTTACAATTTTTTTTTGCAAGCTCCACCATTTTATAAACGCCAAACGTCGTCATCTTTCTGCCGCCGCTGTCTCTGCTTCTGCCGTGTTCAATGTGTCGCTGTGCGCTCATTGCAGCATTTTCAGTTTGGCGCATAGCTTCAGTTTCGCTTGTTTAATTCCTTTTTGTGGTGGTGTCTTATTATTATTATTATTTGTGTGTTTATTTAAGTGCAGATAATCAAATTTACTTTGTGCATTTACATGTGTATGTAGATGCACAAGAAATATGCCATACGAGTAGCTTTTTAGCTAAATAACGAAAAAAGCCAACCTAAATTGTGAGTAAGAGAACGGCATGTAGATGTGTGCGTATCGTTAATTGTACTTTAATCAGTTTTTTTTACAAATTATTCAAATGTCATTTTATTAAAAACTAAACAAGAAACTGCTAGTGGGCAAATTTTGATTGCCGTACTTAACCTCACAAAGCAATTTCGGATTTTACAAAATTACCGTTACTTGGACGCCATAAAAACTAATACTGCAAGTGCAAAGCGCCCAATATGTATGTATGTATGTATATGTGTATACTGTAATATGCATTTACAGAAAAATTCATAGGCAATACGGCAGCAGTTTAAAAAATGTGAAATTGCCAAAAAAAAAATAATAATAATAATAAAACTCAATTTCAACTACATACTGAAAATCGGTAAGAAAATTCCAAAGCGTTGTTTGCTGCCTGCCTGCCTTCGCTTTTAATACAGTAATTGGTCCGTTATGTTTTAATGCTTTCTCATGCACACGCGCACACATACATATGTATATGTAAACACAAACGCTCACGCCAATACATATATGAGCGATCAAACGGCAGCGCCAACGGCTGTCTTCGCTTTGAAATTGTAACACTAACCAAAGCAATAATAACTGCAATAATGTACGAAAAGAAGAAAGTCGACAAAAGAGCACTCGTAACAAGCTTAATCCAAATAAATCAACTTTAAATGAAAATGGCAAATTGAAAAAATAAAATCATCTGTTTTCCCTTCCAATTACCCATTGCCCTTAACCAACACTGTCCGATTTTCAATCCTAATAGGTAAATAATGATTTTTCAAAATGATTGATTTATTGTTTGCCTGAATGCACGCAAGCCGTGTACTCACGCCATCACATATCGCCAAAGGTGTTATGTACATACATGTCTGTATTTGATATACCCTTGAATAGAGTATTATAACTATAGTATTGAATTTGATAGACATATACATATGTATGTATGTACATATTAGAAAGTTTCATCAAAGGTTATTTGTCTCCTGACAGTACATATATTTGAATACTCTACCTTTCGGTCTAGTGCCTTGATCACCTGGATCGTCGTCGACCTCAAGCTCTTGACACAAAGATCCATGTCCATTTGTGTCCAGTTAGATAAGTATCTCAGTTGTGCAGATATCCCATAGAAATTTTTTGCACGGCTTTTATTTTAAAGAAAATGTTAAAAAAAAATATTTTATATTGTTCTTTACTATGACAATGTTACAGAAATTGTTAATATTATGCCAGAGTTTTTTTTTAGTTGAAAACGTTTTCCAATACCAATATGCAGTTTAAAAAAATTATTCCAAAAGATTTTAAAGGGTATATAATTATCAATTTAGCAAAGATAATATTTCACTTGTTATTTATTTATTTTTTTGATAAGGCCAAAAAAAGTGACGACTGACTCTGAACCAATGCTAATTTTTCTTTATATTGGTGCAATTTGTTGCTTCTACAGTTGCTATTGTAGCTTCTGTTGTTGTTGTCAGTGCTTCTTCTATTGTCGCAGCGCTTGTAAATTTAATAAATTAGCGAAAAATTGATTTGATTAACTCTCTCGTCACATTCACAGTCAGGCCGGTGTGTGCCTCGCACTTCGGCTGGCCGATTTCGTCTGGCGTTAGCTTTATTATCGCAAATAACAACAGCAGCAACAACAACAAGTTCATAGGAGTGATTTTTTGCAATCACGTGGATGGTCTGCAAATGGATTATATACATATGAACACATATGCACACACACAAACGAAAAAAAAACTAATCTTGATAAATATTATTTTTATTTTCTATGGTTTTCTTTTGGCAGATACCACGACCAGTCAAGAAGCCAGGCATAGTGAAGAACGAAACCAAAAACACTACAACAATAATAACTAAATAAATTATATATAGTTTAGATTTGACAAGCAAATACACACACACACACGTAAACATAACAACAACAACGACGACAAATCAAAACAACAACATGAAGTACACCACAAATACAGACAACGCATTGCTGTCCAGCAGCAGCAGCGGCAACAGTAGCAGCAGCAGCTCCAACGTTGCATTAAACGAAGTGCAACAACAGCAACATCAGCAGCAGGTTAACAGTCCCATACAGCAGGGGGAGCAGGAACGAGAACAACACATCTCATCCTCTACAACGACAAGCACCGCCAGTTCCGGGAGTGGTGCAACAACAAGCACAACAACAGCAACAACTACAACAGCTAGCAATTCAGCTCTCTTCTGTGAGCAAGTGGGTACCGTGACCAATTTGTTTGAGAAATGGAACGACTGCGAGCGAACAGTGGTGATGTATGCGCTACTCAAACGATTGCGATATCCCAGCCTCAAGTTTCTACAGTATTCCATTGATAATAATCTGACACAAAATCTGGGATCGTCGCAGTCCAATCTAAGCAGTGTGGTCATCGATATCAATGCCAATAATCCAGCATACCTGCAAAATCTATTGAATGCATATAAAACGTTTCAGCCATGCGATGTGCTCGATGCCATGTCCTCCTCCTCATCAGACAAGGATTCCATGCCCTGCTATGGATCCGATTTTCAAATAACAACAACGGCACAATGTGATGAGCGTAAATTGTATGCACGGAAGGAGGATATATTAAATGAGGTGCTCAACATGCTTCCATTGCTAAAGCCCGGCAATGAGGAGGCCAAGTCGAACTATTTGACACTGATACCGGTCGCTGTTAAGGATACGATGCAACAGATTGTACCCACAGAGCTGGTACAGCAGATATTCTCCTACTTACTCATACATCCGGCTATTAGCAGTGAGGATCGCCGCTCATTAAATGTTTGGCTGCGTCATCTGGAGGATCACATACAGGCAGCGGCGGCGGGTATAACAAATCGCAGTTATTTCCTTCAGCCCTCGCCACATTTAAGTGCCGATCACTTAGTTAGTTCCGGCAATAGCCAGCACTCTGCCGGCACAATGAGCACATCTGGTTCCTCCACAGCATCGTCTTCGGCAGCATCGTCGTCGGCCGCCTCTTGCTCCTCGGTAGCCTCGTCATCGCTGGGCAATTTGGCGCCACACACATGCTCCAGTAACTCCAACTCATCGCAGACCTCATCGTCCCATACACCAAGAGGCAATGATTGGCAAACGATTGCGCCTCCAAGCAAGCAACACAAGATCGGTGACTGGAGGAGTTCGGGAGGTGGCAGCGGTTCGGGCAGCATTAATCCACTCTGTGATAATTTAAATGGTATTACACTGAACGAATTAGCATCTAGTCAGAATAGTTTAGGACTGTCGCTGGATAGTTCATCGCTGGTCAATGGCGTGGTGGCCGGAGCGACTGGTAGTGGTGCTTCGCTCTTTGGGAACGGAAACAGCAGTATAATTGCCATTCTAGGTGGTGGAGTTGCTGGTGGTAGCGATGATCATGACACCTCCTTCTCAAAGAACGGCACCGAGATCCTAGACTTTGAGCCAGATTGCGATAAGTGTGTTGGCGTTAGCTTGGGCGATGCCAGCACTAGTGGAAACATTGGCAGTAATCTCTGCCAGCAACATGTAAGCATCATTGTAACGCAGGGAGCTAAACCGAAATTAATAAAATACCAATTTAATCTTAGCTACGTATTGTCAATTAATCGAAATGTAGTAGCTCAATCGTCTTCTAAGTCTCAATTGTGCGTTCATTTAGCTAAATTTGTGCTGTGTAATTAAAGATCTGCAAGTTTTTATTATGTGCAATAGTGTTACAATTGTCTTTAAAAAAGAAAACGATTTCGGTTTGGTTTCCTTTAAAATTTTTTTTCTTATTAAATCTTGACATTAAATGTGTATTTTTCATTGCAGGCGCATTCACAGCAACAGCAACAACAGCAGATGCTGCAACCTCCATCCACGTCACAAGTCTCCCAACAATTGCCCTATGCTTCCATACTGATGGGTTACGATCAGATTGGCGACATTAATCGCTGGAGTTTGGATAGCAAGATTGCAGCTCTAAAGACGCGTCGCTCCAACAGTCTAACCACGCAAACGATCTCCTCCTCGTCGTCATCATCCAACTCGTCTGTGATCACCGTCAACGATAATTGCTCGAATTCTACGGAGAATTTGGCGCAGTTCGCCAACAAGCCGCGCAGCTTTTCACTGTCCATTGAACATCAGCGCGGAGGGCTTACAAACAGTGGTTCGGATACACGCCTCGATGAGTTCAAGCCAAGCTATATTAAGTTTCAGACTCGCAATGTAGGCATGTCTGGCATTGGACTTTGGCTCAAGTCGCTGCGTCTGCACAAATACATTGAGCTGTTCAAGAACATGACCTACGAGGAAATGCTGCACATTAGCGAAGAGTTTCTCCAAAGTGTCGGAGTAACTAAAGGCGCGTCCCACAAGTTGGCGTTGTGCATTGAAAAGTTGAAAGATCGTCCGCATATACTGAACAAGTTAGAGCAGGAACTGCACAAGGGAACCATGAAAATTGGCACTGCCGTGGAGGAGCTTACCAGCATTGTACTGACACCCATGAAACCACTGGAAGCTGTGGCACCCAGTGAGGAGAACATTGCCTTGCGTTTTTTGAAAGTTATTGATCTGGTGAGCAATGCCCTGCAGCAGGATCCCTACTGCACGCAGGATGATGAAACATTGGGTGTATTCATGTGGATCTTGGATCGTTCCATACACAACGAAGCATTTGTTAATCATGCCAACCAGCTAAAGGAGCTCAAGTTCAAGCTATCAAAGCTGAAGATGTCTATGGTGCCAAAGCTGCATCACGTAAAGGCAGCTCCTAGCAACGGCAGCACCATCAATAAACCCAGGTATGTGACATAAATTCCAGTAACTGTTTTATTTTATATTATTAAAACGAAAGAACAAATGATATGCAGAAATTAGAAAGCAAACCAAAAAGGAACGTTAGATTTAACAGAGGTGTTTAGCATTTTGCGCATTCTAAACGACTTTAATATTTCTTAGGTATTTCAAATGATAATCCCAGAGAATGGTAATATATAATTGACCAATTTTGCGATTATCATTATAATATATGTAAAATGAATTTCTAAACTTTCTTTTAACTCTACATTTCAATTTAACACAGATGGAGTGGCAAGACGCGCAAGTGTGACACCAAAAATGGAAGCAACGATCGCATCAACCATCGTAAGAACTCCAATGACATGTTGAACTTTTCCCTTAGTTGTCTGCCACATCCTTTGGCACCTCCACCACATCACCAACAACAGCAACAGTCGCCGTATGGCAACGACTATAATGGATATGGCAGTCATTCGCATCAGCCGCAATACAAGAGCTCCAGCTATCCCAGTTTTATGAATAATCCACAGTCGATGAAGCATCATCAGCCGCCACCTTCTACAGCCCAACAACAGCAGCAGCAACAGCAACAAATGCAACAAATGTTGCAACAACATGCACATTTCCCAGCTCTGCCCCAACAAACGCCGCAACAACAACAGCCGCCGCAACCACATCACCGTCGCTCACTCAACAATCTAATTGTCGTCGCCGGTGGTCCACAGCAGCCGCAACAATTGATTTTCAAACCCGGACAGGGTGTACTTACTACCACCTCCAACGACAATCTGCACCTGGATGGCGCAAGTGTCTCACGCAATCAGCAGCAACAGCACCAGCAACGCAAGCAGAGCCTCAATGGCTTGACAAGCAATGTCAGTCTCAATAGCAACAGCAGCGGCAGCAGCAACAACAACAACAGTTCTTCGTCCGCCAACGGTGTGGAGCCAAAGAAGACAATGGCCGCTGTTGTTATGGTTAGTAGCCAGGCCGTTGGCCAGGAGCAGTCAGAGAGCCCTCAGGCGGCACCACAGCCGCCACCGCCACAAATACTAATCAATAACAATAATAATAACATTTTAAACAATAACCTGATCAATCAGCAGCAGTTACAATTGTTGGCCGCTGCTGCCGCAGCCGTCAGCAATGGTACCTGTCTGTGTAGTGGTGGGGCTGGTGTCGGCACTGCTACCCCGCTCTGTAGCCTGTGTGTGCAGCATCCGAACAACAATGTTGATCATTGTATGTCTGCCATGGAACAACAATCCGCTCAACTCATTGCCAATATGAATATGTCGCTAAAGGACAAATATCATCAAGTGGCTGGCGGTGCAGCGAGCGCTGCGGTGGCCCTACACGACTATAAAATGAATGATTACAAGAGCCTCGAGCAGCTGGAGACGCTGTGCCGCCAAATGACCGAGCAGGCAATGAATTGAGCTAACAACTAATTACATTTCGTAACTCCTACCTCATCCTCCTCCTCCTTATCTATCCCCTTAAAAGCATTTGTTTAATTCTGTTCTTTATATACGTACAGCTGGTTATGAAGTTCCCCTAGATGTGCATATCCATTGGCGTATGCACGTGTCGTTTGCTATTGTAATGCTCGTTCAATAATGTTTGTCGTCAGCGCCCTATTTTTAGTGCATTAGTTTGTAAGCTGCAATTTGTTTTACTAGTTTACAGATTAAGTTTATGCATTAAGTGTTTTGAATGCGCATATTCTGTATCTGAATCTTTGGCTTTGGCGTTTCTAGAGACAGGCCGGTCTTGTCTGCTTTATTGAGCGCATCAAGCATCAGGTTCAGAATTATTGTCGCGCTGTGCCCAAAAGATTGGGTAAAGGCAATGCTGCCAATGTTATATTTTATACAAATATGTGTGTTTGTATCGTAGTACTAAGTTTTCTATTTGTTTAAATTTTGCATTAGACGACTTAGAGATTTTAACAAACCATTCTGCTTAAAAGCTTATCCCAAGATCCCGTAAATGTTAACTTTTCTTTTAGCAAAACTGTTTGTGTTTTTCCATTATTTCCTAAAAAATGGCAAATACCTAACACAAAAAATTATAAAAATTAAATATGCCTAAGAAGATAGTATAAGAACTTGTCTAGTGTAAATTTGTAACTTGTTTTGTATGAATTTGTCGCCATTTGTGGATCATTTTGCAAAACTAGAAGCAAAGCAACTAATTCAACAGATCTATGACTTAAATATTCTTCATCCAACACACACACATACACACACCACAATCAATCAACCAACTTTCTCCTCTCACCCACAATAGGAAAATTTGGCCAAATTTGATCAACACTTTACACTATTCTGATAACAACAACCACAACAACAACATCAACGCGTAGCTGACAAGTTATATTAAACAATTAATGAACTCTGCATCGTGACCATGAGACTGACTAAAATTACTTTTTGCAACTAAAGAAAGAAAGAAAGAAATTGACTAACTAAAAACTGAATGATGGAAATTGTGTTAAATTGTTTGATTGAGTGCCGCGTCGACTCAATGTTAAATAAAAATCAAAACATTGCTTGCTGAAGTCATTGTAAAACAAAACAACCAATTATATACATATAAATAATTTAGTTTACAATTTAATGAAATCAAATTTGCTGAAAACTAAAACAAAACAACAAAAAAAAAAAAACAAAACAAACAAAAACAGAAGAAACACAAGAAAAGGAAAGGGGACGTTGGAAACTTCGATATAAACTATAATTTTATGTGTTTGAGTTTAATTTTGGCAAATAACGAATAGAGATTTGTAAGAGTAGTAAGCACATGTTGTCAGGCATATAAGCAAAAAAAATTATGTTGTATATTTAAGAAAGATTTACGAATTATTATAATTTAGTCAACTGACGATGTAATTATGTTGCCCTTACCAGCCAATGGTATCCAAAAGTACTTTAGTTCAATTAATTTATTGTAATGCCGAACGCACTAAGAATTAAGTAGTAAAATGTTTGTTTTATCTGTTGTTTAATTTAAACGAGAGAACAGTGTAATATTTTAAATAGTATTTGTATACTAGCATCAACAAGCGTCGATCAATTGTTGTATACAAGAAACGAGAAAAAACTAGTTAAGGCAAATTGCTTTTTTTATATTTACAGAAGCTTGCGCATGTGTGCAACGTAACGTCACTCAATATGTATACACACATATATTTATATATACACATGTATGAATGTATGTTAATTGTGTAGAGCTAAAGCGGTTTTAATTTTGCAAAATTGTCTATATTTATATATTGTACATTGTATATTGTATTTGTAATAATTAAGTGAACACTATATCGACGGGCAAACCTAAATCAAGATCAAATGTTAAGGGCAGCCAAAAAACAAACCAAGCAAATCATTATTAAGTTATATAGTGGTTATTATTATTTTCATTGTAATAGCATAAATGGATTTTCGATTGACAAGCTACAAGAACAAGAAAAACAACATCAATAAATTGTACAATAAAAACAACAACACACACTAAACAATGCAACATTCTTGTGCAACTAAATGAAACAAATAAATACAAGAAAATAAATTGCAAAATATATAATATGTTTAAATGCTACAAATTGCCAGTTAAAAGCCTCTAAAGAGCAACAAATAATTGTAAATTACATACAAACATAGCAAGTTCAAAATTACAAAAAAAGAAAAACAAAAACTAAAAGGTTTAATATAAAGTTTAAGCAACCGAAGGAAAAGAGCAACAACTACTATTAGCAACAAATACAAGTACATATGTATCTATGTTTAAACACAACAGAGTCAGTTAAATGTTTGCATATACAAATCACAAATTAAAAAGTAAAAATTAATAAAACAAAGAACAGTTGATAAACGTAAATGTATGAAAATGTGAAACATGCATAAACAAAAATTGTACCTACATGCTGCATACAACAACAAAAGCAACTTAAACATATACAAGCATATATTTATTTTCAATAAATTATTTGAAGAATTATCCAAGTTTTCTTTTACTGGGAATTGAATGAATTGTATGGAGAAAGAATTTATTACTATGTTTTTATTTATTTAAGAATGTCACAGCAATCGCAGGCTGTTCTGAAGGAACAATCAACTCCAAGGACAGTCCTCCGATCTGCCCATTAAGTGCTGAAATTTTCTTGAGTATGTTGGCAAACGAAAATGAGGATCTCAGTTAAAACCAGGAAAGCAAATAAATGGAATTGCTTTAATCCGAACCAATCTAAGTACAGGCGGCGTAAAAGAGTACTACTTGTATACAAGTACAATAATTTAATGGTGTAAAGAATATTCAATTCTTTTAATCAAAACGTCTTAAGTCTTATTTACGATATAAGATATGTGAAGATTAAACTACAATTTGGCAGCAAAAAATACTCCAAAATTTTGGACTGTAAATAAGGCTTGCAATTTATTACTGTGGTACAATAGCTTCTAAACTGGACTCCATTCCTAAAAAAAGGTTCCTTTAAAAAACTAAAATGTATTTACAAAACGGTGATTATTCAATTCTCTAATAGTAATTAATATTTTTTTGGTTAGTCAAAAGAATTTTCAAAATTCCGTTTAGCAAGCAATTTTATACTTTTCCCAACAGATTTAGGACAATTTTGAAAAAATTTTACGTAATTAATCAAAGAATCGTTTTTGTTAGTCAAACTCCTTAACTACCTTAAGAGTCGGAATATATTATATTTATGTTAGAAGCATAAGTCGATTGGTTCTCTTTATGAGATCACTATTCGTATTTAAAATTTAAAAATTGCTTGTAAATTCATTTCAAGGAATTTATGCCAGTAATCAACGAAATAACAAGCATATTATTAACAATTTCAAAACTGGTTTACCTGAAACTTGACTGTAATGATTATTAAAAAAATGACAAAATAATGACTATTTTTTAATTTTTATTCAATCACTATAAATTTAATAATTATTTTTGAGTGTTTTAAATAATAACCAATCATTATTATTTTTGAGCAAAAAAAATAAAACTTAGAAAATAATGATTATGCTTTTAGTTTTATTTTTTTCATCAAAAATAAAACTCAATCTGTAGTTTTAACTGTTTCTTAAGAATTTGGGACAAAATTGATATAAACTTAATCAGTGAGTCAATTAGGAACATTTTTCATAAATTAATTAATTAATAACTTTTTTTTTTACTCTACAAATTTGAATGTATGTAACAGGCAGATGGGGGCGTGGCAGACTCCGCAAAGTATATATAATTATTAAATGTTTAAACTGTTTTTTATTTTAAGCTTTATATTCGAAATATTGTTGAATATTTTTGTAAGGCAGGGTATGCTTTTTCAATTCGCCGTATCTTTATTGCTCTCTTCACGTAAACTCGACTGCTCTTTAATTATTAATACATATATATTTTATGTTGGGGGCTCGTTTATGAAAGAGCGCATAGAAGTGGCTAAACCGGCTAAAGAGCAGAGGTGTGGGCTATATAATGACAGCCATTCCAAATAACTTGCTTAGTTTGCTACGAACTGGCGCTACTACAGACATTCAGGTGTTTATCTCCAAAACGCGTCGTGTTTATTGTTTTACTCGGTCTGCTTCACACTCAATTGCCCAAAAGTTATAAGTTTTCTAGAGATTTGTTTACAAATACAGCAAAAATGTCCGCCAGCTTCGTGCCCGTGCCCTCTGGTAGCGATTTTCCATTGGAAAACTTGCCCTATGCTGTCTTCTCGACCAAAACTAATGTGAGTAGAGTTTGTGGTAGAAATTTTTGTGATTCTTCATTTAATTTTAGAGTAGAAAAAAATCGTAATTGTGGTAAATACTTATCTATAAAGGATTCCACATAAGAATTAATATAAAATATTTTCTACAAGTATGTAGCCCGTTTACCATGTGGCTTGTGGGCCTGTTCTTCGTGTTGTTTGTCAGTTAGAACTTGGTCTAGAATAAAAACAGCTTTAAACAAAATACGCTACATCATTGCCGTGCATAGAATTTGCATAAATTAGACTAGAAACTAGTTTGTTTACAAAAACAATATTCTAATTTAAAATGAAATGGGGGTAGCACCTGTTGCTCGCGCTTCTTGTTGTTTTTCTCACTGATAAGACTAGTATTTTTAAAATACTATCATAAAAATAATATAAATATCGTATAAATATCGTAACCGATGTTTATCGTATACCGTTTATGCCTTACAGCCAACTCATCGTATCTGTGTGGCCATTGGTGAGCATGTATTGGACTTGAAAGCTGTGGCGCATTTGTATCCGCGCTCATTGCAGGTAAGTCGAGCCCGTAATGCACTGCTTGCGGCGAATGCGCTGCTTACTTTCTCGCTCTCTCTCCCTCTCCCTCTCTCACTTCAAAGGCAGCGCTACAGGCAGAAAATTTGAATGCGCTCATGGGCTTGAGCTATGAAGCTTGGGATATAGCGCGTACACAAACCCAAAAGCTGCTGACCAAAGGCTCAGAATTGGCGCATAATGTGGATTTGGTAAGCCAGTAAGTGGTTTCTATATATTAGTCGATCCTTTCTAATTTAAAATACTAACCCTACAGTGCTGTGTTGTCCCAAGAGGATATTTCTTTGCATTTGCCTGCACAAATCGGTGACTACACGGACTTTTATTCATCCATACACCATGCTACAAATGTGGGCATTATGTTTAGAGGAGCGGACAATGCACTCATGCCCAATTGGCGTCAGTTGCCCGTGGGCTACCATGGACGGGCCAGTTCCGTTGTTGTTTCGGGCACGCCCATACGCCGCCCCTTGGGTCAAACATTGCCAGACGGTGCCGATAAGCCAGTGTTTGGTGCCTGCAAGCTCCTGGATTTTGAGCTCGAAATGGCTTTCTTTATAGGAGGTCCCGGTAACAAGCTGGGAGAACCCATCAGCGTGGATGAGGCGTGGAAAAATGTATTTGGCTTCACGCTAATGAACGACTGGAGCGCACGTGACATACAGAAGTGGGAGTATCTACCATTGGGTCCGTTCACAGCCAAAAATTTGGGCACCACCATTTCACCGTGGGTGGTGACCACGGCGGCTCTGAAACCATTCCTATTGGATAATTTTCCGCAGGATCCCCAAGTACTGCCCTATTTGCAACAAAGTGCGCCATTTAACTTTGACATCAATCTGGAGGTGTCGCTGAAGCGTGAGTTTTGGTTTCTCTAATCGGTTGATTTAACTATATTTATATGGTTCCTTCATATTTGTAGCGTCCAATGACAATGCGACGATCATATCCAAGTCAAATTTTAAGCATTTGTACTGGACACCACTGCAGCAGATTGCTCATCATACCGTTACCGGCTGCAACTTAAGACCCGGGGATTTAATGGCATCAGGTACCATAAGCGGTGAGACCCCCGATTCCTATGGTTCGCTGCTGGAGCTGTGCTGGAAGGGCACCAAAACCGTAGAGCTGCAGGGTGGCAAGACGCGCAAGTTTCTGCACGACTACGATGAGGTGATCATACGAGGTTATTGTGAGCGCGAGGGTTTGCGCATTGGATTTGGTGAATGCGCTGGACAGGTGTTGCCAGCTCGACCGATTCCCGGCCAGTAGGGATGAGAATACTACGAAATTCCTGAGCAATCGAACAAATAAAGCAACATGAACCTTAACTTTTTTTGAACTGATTATTGACTGAATAATCACTAAAAAATTTAACAGAAAAAATAATGATTTTAAAAAAAATTGAAAATAAGTACCAAATGCTTTCTAATGACAAATTAAACAGTGTGGACACAGGAGAATATAGGGAAATAAAGCTGTCCTTATAAGCGACAGAGAAGGGTATACGGCTTCGATACAAACAAAGATAACTTTTAGCTTGGTTTTTACTCTCAACTCTAACATCAACAAGTGCTTCTCTCATCAATTTTTTTGCATTGCGCATGACGCGTGCTCGTACTCTCTCTCTCCCATTCATTTAACTCTCTATTATTTCGTACGCTCTCAATTTGCTCGTTGGTCCAATCGCTGTTTTTGGCATTGCACGCTGCTTCGTAAATACACGCATGCCGCTTCTGCTTTTGCTCCAGCACTGGCGCCACCAAAGACGAAGAGTCCCAGTCAGTACTCATTGAGCTTGCGACGACGACGTTGACGTCGAACAAAAGCAGCAGGCAGGCAGCAGCGTTGAAAGTCGTGCAGTCAACATAAAAAAATTCCTACAAAGGGGAAAAAATTGTGAAAAACGCAAACAAGCTAGGCGCCGGTTAAAACAATTTATGGCCATCGTGGTGGTTTTGTGTAAATAAAAACAGTTCCATAAAAACCAACGAAAGCCTACTATAAAATAACAATCCAATTACTGTGCGTGTGTGTGTACAATTTTTTCAATGCAAGCCAAAGGCGCAGCCAAATTTGTTGTTGTTTAAATGTGTAAGTGCACAAAAATATGTACATATAAGTAGCTGAAAAAATATAGCATTATTGTGACATTAATGTGTAACGGGCTTGCAAAAGTTTGCATAATAATTACGAGATTTAACTTCCGACAACAAGTCAAAAAGACTTGGGGAAAAATCAATTTTTTGCTGCGTGTTGAGGCGCACACAGCTAAACAAACAGACATACACACTCATACGTCCATACATACATATATTCATGCATAGTAACGTACATACATAGCAACAAAAACGACAGCAGCAGTCGACTTTGAGGACCACCCACCCACCCTCTATAACTTGGAAAATTGTACTCGACTTCAGGCAGCCAGGCCCAAAGCAAGACCCACAGCCAGTTAGCGAGTCATCGTCGTCTGGCTTGCAATTTTCATTATACCCTGCACTTGCGAGTCTAAGTTGTTATATCTGTCTCCATGAACGTTTCAATCTCCAACAGATTAATTTATGTCAAACATTTTCAGCTTATCTAAACGGTAAAACTTTAAAGAACGCCATAACCGATAGGTGTTGTTGTTGATTTATCTTCGTATTATTCTTCAATTAATGTTTTAACAAATTGTCAAGAATGATTTCGAACCGGGCGCAGGGTATACAAGAGTCGTACTCGCGCAACTTGAAACTTCCAGTCGTTTTGTTTGCATTGATTTTCAACCACGACGAAGACGACAAATAATGTCGCAGTGCAGTGTGCAGTCTGCAGAGGATGCGCCCCAAAACACGCGTGCGAGCATACATACACATTATCTCACACACAGGGACACACTCGCGATTGCATTTTTGTGTAGGCACCACAACGCACAGCATGCAAAAAGTTAATCAGCTCGCTCTGCACTGCGCACCGCCATCAACAACAACAACAGCAAAGCGACGACAGACAAAAAAAAATAGCAAGATACGCAGCAAATACAAAAAAAAAACTTTGCAATTAACTGGCGCCGTCGGCTACCGCTCCCCCCACAGTTCACCTCATCACCTGCTCAGATTGGCAACAGAACTCGTTTTGGCGCGCCACTGTGCTCTCTTTGCCTCGCCTCATGTGAGTGGTGCATGGTGAGCGCATGTTTCAAAAGAGAGCAACTGTCTGGCTCTGGCTCCCTAGTTGAATGCTCCCGTTATATAGTGTTTCCATTTGTTGGTTGACACAAAAAGCTAGATCAGCAAATGAAAATGCTAGAAATAGCTACATGCTTATGTATGAACATTATAATTATAATAGAGGTAAATATTTGATTTTAATTGCTATATCATTTGTATGAAGCAATTTAATCCCTAACTTTGATGCTCTCCGTCTCATTGATGTAAGAGTAGTTTGTTTCAATAGGTTTTAGCTTTCGGTTCCAAACTTTTCAATAATATTGTAAATATGTAATTGGAATTAAAAATATTAATAAGAATTTCAGACTTGTGTTAGTTTGTTATCCATTGATTTCCTCTTTTGTGTAAATGCTAATGCCAGGCTGACAAAAAAATACGACTGAAAAAAACGGCAGTTGGGTCAGATCTAAAATGTAATTTGAATACATATGTATAAATATATGTATATATAGTATGTATGAATGTATACAGATACATATATGTATGTACATACCTACTTATATACCACTGTCTTTGGAATTTTAAAATAGTTTGTGCAATCGACGAGCATTTAAAAAACTCCAGCGCTGGCGGAAAAAAAGCTAAATTGGCAAATTGACTGCTGATTGCCAGCCACGAGCACCACAGTCTGAAGTCTGCTCTGAGCATAAACGAAACTATAACGCAAGCGAGAGAAACCAGAGAACATGGCAGAAGGGTGCAGAATTTGTTTCTAGGTTTATTTGTCCTCCACAGTTTCTGTGCGTCTTATCTCTAACGGTATTATCATCGTCATCATCATTAATGAAACATAAATTGAACGCTTTCGGTTTCATTCTTTAATCACAGCGTCGTCGACGGCAACAAATACAATGAAGCGATAGAAAAATTAATACATACATACATATGTAGTATGTACGTACATATGTATGTACATACATATGTATGTAACTAAAAAACAATAATTAAGAAAGCCGTCATTCAATGGCCTTTGTGATATTTTTATTGCGTAGACTGATGTGCGTGCAGCAAATTCAAGTTATTTTAGGGGATTTAATTATTGTGGTTGTATTGTGGTTTAGTTGACGCTATCGTTGTGGACAAATTTTTTTGTCAAAAGTACATACATACATACAAATGTATGTATGTATTTAATACAGGGAATGAATATAATTGCTATTTTTTTTGAGTTTTAAAAACAAATTATCAATTACATTTCAAAGAATAAAAATTTACATGTAACAATTATTACATATGTATGTATGTACATAAATACATACATATGTATGCATCTGGAAGTTATAAGTGAAGATCCTTGACCGAATGACTAGCGCTTTTAAACGATTCATATACGATATGAGTCGAAACGAGAAGAATCTGTACTACATAGTTTAAACAAATGTGGAATCTACATATGTAGCTTACTAATTCTGATCCTCTAGAAAACTTAATTTTCCATTTTCATAAATAGAAATATTTTTCAAATTCTAGTCGATAAAATACTAAATAATATACCAAAAAGTTACTATTAATATTACAAAGTCCACCTAATTTGTTTAAAGATTAACTTAGTAAACGATTCTATATTTTGTTGCCGCAGTAACAATCAGGTTAGTTACCACTTAAGCTTATTATTTATGGCAGGAAGTTAGCTCTTTAAGCAAACAAATTTATGTGAAATGAAAACAAATGCGATAATAATCTGAATAGAATATGTATAATGTGTAAACTGAAGTTAATTTTGAAAACTTTAAAATATAAATAAAATAGTATCTTAGGTCTTTAACTTACAATAAATATTATAATACTCTATGCGTATAAAAATACATATTTATTTGTTCCATTTCTATACGAGGGAAGACTGAGCAAACATTTTCTAATCAGTCGGCGAACCGTGAGCACATTAGTCAATGGAGAAGCTTTTTTTTGTTTGTTTTTGTTTTTGCATATAACGAGCGCAATTTGCACGCCAAATGGCAGCGGCGACGATGGCGCCTGGCCCCAATGGTTCCAAAGTGCACAAATTCCGATGCAGTTGCCGACAAAACGCCCCCCGCCATTACGCTATAGCTTGTACACTCTGTTTGTTGGTTGGTTGGGTGGGTGTGTGCAGTCGACGTCGCTGCTGACGTGGGCAGAGCCAGAGAGCCAGAGACTGATGATCAATCGTGCTCTTTACTTGCAACTTAATTGAGAATTTAGGTCTGTGCGTTGTTATCATTGTTGTTTTTGTTGTCGGCTGGCTGACTTGCTGGCTGGCTGGACGGCTGGCGATTGATAAAGTTTCAGCTCGCTTGCAAATTAGAAGTGAGAAACGCTCATGGAATACACAAACAGAACCTAAAGAATTCGAGTGGTAGTTGGGACCGTTGTCGCCAGCTTAGCGATTGTTGTTGATAATCGTTGTTGCTGTTTTGAGCAAAAGTCCGCAAGTATGTTACAACGAATCTCTATGCCCTTCAAAAACTGTACGTCTTGTGTGATTTGAATTTAGATCCTACTATCTCCGTACCATCTGCGATCTCATTAAAAGCGACTTAGAACTATGACAACCTTATTCCCCAAGCGAAATTTGCTTTCAAGGAAGTTTAAAATAAAAATGGAAAAGAACTTAAAAGATTCTGAAGTTTAGAAACATACAAGTATTATATTCTTAGTACATTTTGAATGGAAATATCAGTTTGAATCAGTCATAAGATATTCCATTTTCTCATATTTCAATTATAAATAAATATTTGGAACCTAATCCAGTATTTTGTTTGTTTGTAATATTTCGAAGAAGAACCACTTGAAAATTGTAAAGAAATATGAAACTTACGCATCAAAAAATCAATATAGAGTAGAGCATAAATATGCATATTAACAATACATACTTGTACTTACTATACATATATTTTTTGTATTCTTTATGCAGCAGTTGTAGCACAAAAATGTCATAAATAAGCGAACAAGACACTCAAGGGCCGAGAAGTTGAGCGGGACAAGATTCCAAAAGTGCGCTAAAGTTGCTTACTTTAGAATTGGACTTGGTTAGTCATTGCTGTTGAAGAAGTGCCCCACCCTCAAACAAAATGATGTGCCGGCTATGGAGAGTAATGCTCATGCTAGCCCTGCTATGGCAAATGGCGCAGACATGTAAGTAGTCCGATATAGATATATATGTCTCCGACTTGATGCAGTCTGGTATTCAATGATTGATGATCTTCCACAGCACCAGCGCCCAGTCGCCAATACACCTGCATGAGTTACATGGAGAATGATAATTCGCTGCATGACGACGACTTGGAGTTCGAGAGCAATGCGGATAGCGTCGAGGCAGGGAATAGCAACAGTGTGGAGCAGCCAGCTGAGTTGAATGCTGAGCGACACAAACGCGTTTGCTCCGAGGGCTATACCTTCTGTTTCTCGCTGTGGAATCAAACGCCGAATGGCACGCGTCTGGTCAAGCAGGGTAAGTGGAATAATGTGGGGCTACCTTTAGCGTTAATAGCTGACTTACACTCAGTTCTAGATGTCAATTTTAAGTCAAACTGTTTGGTATTTTGTTTTTAACTGACCGATGTTTGTATACAATGATAATATTAGTGCATATTTTAAATGTAAAACAATGAGATTAGAAGAAATTTCTATTTTGTGTTATCCATATCGTTAATAGGATGGATACATTACCCACTATCTATATCTATAAGATTCAAAGCTTATAAGGTTCTATGAAATTTTTTGAGGAGTGAGGGGTTCAGAATTGTTCGATTTAATATAAGACCATGAATAATTTTAGATATTTAAAGGATATATGGAAAGGAATCATTTTTGGTAGAGTTATTTAAAACATCTATTAAAAAAAAACATCCTTAAGACGCATTGTCAAGTACACAGCTGCTGATATTTTAAAGTTTATTATTTATGCATCTAAAATATTGTGTTCGGGATATTTTTATATCTTATCTTCGCAAAGAATAATTAATTTAATGTTTGTCTTTAGGACTATTGTGCTATTTTATGTAGTGCCTATTGTACTGGATAGGACTCTTTCCATATATAAGTTTTCATATCTTGAAATTCGAACGTGTTTTTTTGTTTTTCACTCAAAAGTTCCAATGACTTGTTAGATAGGTGTACAGGTCTTTGGCGCACCCTGCAAAACTTAATTTTAAAGCATCAAATATATTGAGAAATATATATTCTTAAAGCAGAGACCCCAACTCCAACTTTCCAGCGCTCTAATAAGGCTTTTATAAATTCTCAAAATCTATATTGCTTGGTCTTAGAGTTATGATTAATCAGTATTTATTTTAAAGTTGGGTACAGTTGCATTCGAGTTTTCGGGGCCGTTTAAATTTAAATAACTCAGATAGAGTTAGAGAACTAGTCAGAGTATTTCTAAACTTAATCTTTCAATATTTGCAGGCTGCTGGAAGGATAACAATGAACGCAACTCTGCTTGCAGTGCATCGGAGTGCACCAGCTCGGCACCCACATCACGTACCTCATCCCTTTATTACTGCTGCTGCTCCGGTGATTTGTGCAACGCAGAGGTGGCTGTTGTGGAACCAGCGCCCTTGGAGCTCTCCAACAGTGTTCACTCGGCCGTCAGTAATCGTGCGGAAGCGCAGCAACGCCATTCGATGAGAGCCACGACGATGCTCTTTTGTGCCGGTCTAGTTACTGCCATGATCATCGGAATCTTTATTTCTATACAATATTGTCGAACGAACAAAGAGAAACCGGAACCAGAACAATCACCCCTGGCTCCATCGGGACCTGGCTATAGCTCCAATTCGCGGAACGTAGATAATATGAATTTGATTGGCATGCTGGGCAGTGGCAAGTATGGCACCGTGATGAAGGGCTTGCTACATGAACAGGAGGTGGCAGTCAAGATCTATCCGGAGACGCACCATCAGTATTACATAAATGAACGAAATATTTATGGGCTGCCGTTAATGGATTGTCCAGCGCTGCTGACGTACTTTGGTAAGATTTGGGTAGATTAAGGGCATTTTTTATTTTGTTAAGACTTGAATCTCGCTAGTGGTTTGTAGGGAATAGACAATTAATCGAGTGGATCCAATATGGCTTAAGTAGGGTATTCCACTTACTGGAGCTTCCCTAACCTAGTAGCAACCTAACCTAACATAATCTGATCCAACCTTAACCAGTCTCCAAATGATTCCTAACATATTCCCAAACTAATCTAATTTAAACTCAACTGTCCTAGCCTAATTTAACAAATTGTAATCATATTTAAGGTTTAGCTTAGAAAGAAGTTAAAGATAAAGTCAGCTTCCGCTTCATTGTCTGTAATTTACTTGACAAATATATAGATAAGGTATCTTCACTTTAGTTTAGAATTTAGGCCAGTGAGAAGAATATAGTTTTTGAGTTCCACCAATGTTTCTTGTCCAAAATGTATTCAGTTTGATTCCTCATGCTTTAAAGCATAATACCAGATAAGCAATATCATTTAAAAATGTTCTTAACCTACAGGCTACGATGAGCGTCGCACGATGGATGGACGCATGGAGTACCAGCTGGTTCTGTCGCTGGCACCGCTAGGATGTCTACAGGACTGGTTAATAGCCAACACCACAGACTTTCAGCAATGCTGTGGCATGTTGCGGACCATTACCCGAGGTCTGTCCCATTTGCACACAGAGCTAAGGATGGGGGATGAGCACAAGCCGTGCGTGGCGCATCGGGATCTCAACTCGCGGAATGTGCTGGTGAAAGCTGATCTTAGCTGTTGCATAGCGGACTTTGGCTTTGCACTGAAAGTCTTTGGCTCGAAGTACGAGTACAAGGGCGAGGTCGCGATGGCGGAGACGAAGAGCATCAATGAGGTGGGGACGCTGCGTTACATGGCACCAGAGTTGCTGGAGGGAGCTGTGAATTTACGCGACTGTGAGACATCGCTGAAGCAAATGGATGTTTACGCCTTGGGGCTGGTGTTATGGGAGGTGGCCACACGCTGTTCGGATTTCTATGCGCCGGCACAAATGACGCCGCCCTATAAAGCGCCCTACGAGCAGGAGGTGGGTCCACTTCCCAGTTTCGATCAAATGCAGGCATTGGTGGTGCGGCATAAGGCGCGACCCCTATTCCCAGCTGGTTGGGGCGGCGGTGCGGCAGCGAAATTGGTGCGCGACACCTGTGAGGATTGCTGGGATCATGATGCGGACGCTCGTCTAACATCCTTGTGTGCTGAGGAACGTATGCAGGAAATGTCGAGTCTGCGACCACGGTTGCAGGCTCAACAGGCCAGTCCTCTGCTAAACACCAACAATCTGACGCCGGTGCCGTCAGACCAACAGCATCCCGCCCTCATCACAGTCACAACGACGGCTGTGCATCATCAGCACTCAACGGACACCGCGGGAATGCTGCAACCACCACCCAATCAACAACTGCCCACGGAAAAGAATCATTTGAGCTACACACAACAGCAGCTTCAACCCTATCAGGGACGTAACCCTTGTCTGGAACGCAATCTGGCGCCTTTGCCGCTGCGCACTACACCCGTACTGGTGGAGAAGAGCAAGAAGCATAGCTTCCAGACCCCACAGGAGCACAGTCTGTCATGCCTGGAGGACGATGTGAGCGTGGAGGAGCTGATAGCTGGTGGTGGCGTCAGCATTAGCCAGAATAGTAACAACAACAACAGCAGCACTGGCAGCCACAAGCATAGCTCGAATCTGGGGCAAGGGTTTCCGAAGCAACAGAATACGGATCGCAAGCTTCGTGGCTGGCACGGCGTTCGTGCTCTCATACATAAGAAGCTCTTCCGTAAGCAGGATGCGGACGCACTTTGCCGCCAGTTAGGCTACGGTGATGAGAAATGCAACCTGGTGGTCGACAATCGTTATGTTGCCGCTCTAAAGGGTCTGGACAATACACGTCTCGCTGTTAGCTACATAGATGATCGAAGCAAGGAGCTGAGCGTTAAGTCAAGCAGCTTGAGGCGTCCCAACAATCTTGATCTAAGTCCCATGTCGATGGTATTGGAGACGAACAAGCAGAATCCAGTGCCGGAGCAAGGCGCCCGCTCTGCGCAGCTGCAGAGCACGGAAGAGCGGACTGGCACGCCTGCGCACATCGTCCCACGTTCGCTATCCACAAGTCTGATGAAGCACATCAGCTACGATGGAAGTGGTTCCAATTACAATAACAATAACAACGATAATGAATTGCAAATGCTGGCACAAAAACGTCGTCCTGGTCATCTGAGGACGAACTCTCTGTTGGTTACCAGCAGCAACAGCGGCAACAGCAGCGGCGTCAACATGCAGTCTGAACAGCAAATGCGACGCCAACACAGTCTGGAAGTCTTCCGTGAGGTCTTCAGCGGTCGTGGCAGTACGGAACGTCTGCGCGATCCCAGCCAGCGTGTGAAAACCCCTGGCGATGTGCCACCCTCGGTGAGGAAGATGCGGGCCAGTAAGACGTTGAGTCTCTATGATGATCGCATGATGGACTCATCGTTGCTGAACATACTCTAGCATGAGGAGGTTCTGCTGCTGGAGCTATAAGACATATATCTCGGCGGCAGAACGGATCTGTATTCATATCTTCACTTCATCACACACACACTTCACAACCATATTCAACGATAGCCATACGTGTAGTTTGTATTTGTAGTTCTAGAGAAGCCCTTGAACCAGATGGGGAGGGGCACTAAATAGGTCTAGAGAGAAATGTATGTATGTATTTTTTCACCGACCATCTTAGTGTGTAGTGCGGCGAACAACCAAAGTCCTTATAGGTTTAGTCTTACGCTAACAATTAAAACAGTATACAGAAAATATAACTATATATTCAGATACATAGGTATATGTAGACATATACACATATATGGTGTCATATTTTTGTGCTAAATTGACCCAAGACGACTTACATTGATATTTCCCAATAGCATCAGTCTGAATATGAACGATATATAGTTATTTATATAGACGTATATGTATGGTTTTCAATCGAGCTGAGCTTAGGGTGGAAGGCACATTATAGGCCAACAGTCAGGACCATTTTAAAAGCCATATACACCAACCTTATTCTAATCACATATTAACAAAATTATATAATATAATGCCATATTTAGACACACCTACACCCACGCACATATACAAATATAGATATTTCTTTATGTCGCGGTTGCCACTGTTGGACTTTATTTGATTACTTTCCTATGTTACGCCTAAGTAGGACCTCCGTTTATAATCTTTATAAGCTTAGAACAGCTGGATATCCCTCTCTGATTATCTTAAAAAATTAAGTAAACATTGTTTGCTTCACTACTTTTTGTTTACTTATTAGTTTAATATTAGAGACCCATTAAATAAATTTGAAAGAAATATTAAATTTTTTTTGAAAAACAAATACTCATTTAAATACTATATTTAATTCAAAATTCGTTTATTAAAATTTCTTCAAGGCCCCAACGGCGACAACCGTGTCCACCTATTTTCGAGTATTATACGATCCAAAAGAAAATTTGACACTAAACATACTTGTACGTGTTTGATTGGAGTAAATGAATTTTAAAAGTATGCCTTTTAACACATTAATTAATTAATTAATTAATCAATTCATGTCAATCGGAGGCATGCATTTTGTTTTTGTTATCATTTTTATTTTTCTAGCAATTTTAGACCAACACACCCGCAGCCTTTCAGTGAAAATGTCTGGTAACATAATTTACAATTAATTATAAACATTTATTATATAAAGAAAAATTATTTAAAAAATCATTTTTTAACGCAAATAAACAATGAACCACAAACACAAATTTGTATAAATACTCGTGCTTCGTGCAGCCCTCGCGTTGAGATATTGACTTGCAAATCACTCAAATCGCCTCCGCAACTCAATCAGTACTGGTGCGTTGGGTTTATTGATCAGCAACGTAAGAACGTCTAGCTCGGCTTCCGTTTGACCACGCCAGATGAGTTCGTAGTTGCGTAGCAGCTGAAAAGCGTGAAATTTGAATAACAAATTCGGAATAGATTCATTTACTTAGAAGTTGGAAAGGTGGTTTTATCATTGTCATCATTTTTACGGCTATATGAGGGTATATGAGATATAATGATATAATGAGACTAGATACGGTATCTAATAAACTTTATTTGAAAAGTCTAATGACGTTAGCTGTTGTGGCTCAAAAGATCTTGAAGTTCATACAGACAAACAGCGGAACGAACGGTCAGACGCGATTCGTCTGTATTTCTAACCTTAGGTCCTTTCTGGCTGTGCTGCAGATAATTTAAACACTTCAACTATAGCTTAGAATATAGTTTAGACTATTCAAGCTTATAGAAGAATCTAGTATCTTGTAGCTATCTAGGCTATAGAATAAAACCACGCATTACATACTGACGTAAAATAACATCAGAACAGCTTTCAATCTCATTGTCATGTGTAAGAATTTTTTTGTAAGGACTCACCCGGAGAAGCAGGACATGCATATTCTGTTCAGCCAGACGACGTGCTATGCAGGCGCGCATGCCATGACCAAAGGGCAGTACCAGATAGGGATTCAAAGCGCTACGCTGCTGCAGCCAGCGCTCGGGTAGGAAGCGCAAAGGCTCCGGAAAATGCTGAGGTAGGCGACACGCCACCATATTCTGGGTTACAACAGTGGTCTGTAAAAAAAGAATGCTATAAGTTTAGTCGCCTTAGGACAACACCCACGCAATACTTACACCTTTAGGCACAAAGTAACCACCGAGTACTGTGTCCTGATTGAGTATGCGACCAACGCCAATGGAAATGGGATTAAGGCGCAACGATTCCTTGAGCACGGCACGCGTATATGTGATGTCTGTGCGCAGGGAATCGGCACAAAGCGCCTTCTCTGGGTTGGGCAGTAGCTTCAAGGATTCCTCATAGATGCGCCGCTGCACATCCGGATGTTTGGCCACATGATAGAGGAGAAAAGCCGAGGCATACGAGGTCGTATCAATGCCCGCCAATAGCAAGTCGGCGGCAGTGCCAACGACATCAAATCGATCGAGTTGTGGATTCTTAATGTAAGCAGAGATCAAGGAGCCGCTGCTGTCGTTCGCCTTCATATTTTCCTCCACAAACTCGAGGGCCACACTCTCCATATATAGCTGGGCGCGACGTAGTTTTCGAAAACTGGGCGTTTCCATATAACGCCACAGCTGTAGGCCCTGATCGGTGGGCAAGATGCAGCTATTGGTGGTCTCGGCGGCCTCCATAAGGCGTGTCGAACGGGAATGCGGTAGCTGCTCTCGAGGCGAGAAGGAATGAAGACGCGTTCCAAAAGTGAGCAGACAGGTAACTGTAAGGAAGATGATTGAAATTTATAGAGAAAGTCTGGTTTGCCTGCTCAGCTTACGTTCCAGATTTAGACGCGTTAGCTTGGGCAACATATCAATGCCAGTCTCGGTTTCAGGTTGCTGCTTCAGATACTCCATAAATTCCAGCGTCACTTCATCGACAGCCGGAACGAAACTGCGCACACTTCGCGGAGCGCTCAACTCCTTTTGAAGCTCTGAGCGTAGACGCCACCAGTCCTCGCCATTTGTGGGCAGCAGCCCAGTGGTGCGATAGAGATGGGGCCGTTGCTTGCGATACTGTGCCAGGGCCAGATGACTACGTCGCTGTGGATACTCGCGTTCGTTTAGCAGCGTCGCAATATCCTTGGGATTATAGAGCCACACAATGTCCTGGCCCGGCACCATAGTCTCACGCACTATTGAACCATATTTCTCATATTTATCCCGCCCGGCCTTATGCAGCTCCAGCCACGAGTAGGCACCAATACCGGGCATATAATTATATAGATTCCCGAGGCCAAAGGGGCCGCGTGGTCCGGGCATAGCCTGGAAGGGCTTGGCAAAGGTGCACTTCTGCGAGGTGCAGCTGATTTTCAACAGCTTCGTCAGCATCTTTGACTTGCGACCACGACGCGTTTCAAATTTAAACTGAGCGCTGCCTTTGCCGGCATTTATTTTGGGCTCGCACGTTCTTTTGTTTCACTTGCTATGCACAACTGAAGGTGATCAGAAAGTAAAAATAAAAATAAGCCCGATTCGTGTTTACCTGACTCCCTCACTGCTACCGAAGCCGTTAAGTTACACCTGGATGGTCTACCTGCAGAGCGAGTTCTGCAAGTTGCTCTTAAATACTACCTAGAAGGGATGCTCTTCATCGACAAACGGCTGAGCAGCTAAATCGAAAGTGTAGCACACTTTTAGGCAGCACGAAATATTTTAAATATTCACATTTTTAGACATCGTGTGCTAAACGTTAGATTAAGTTTATTCCTGAATTACTAATTTTTTGTTTCGTGGTAAATCACGTTTTTTTTTTAGCAAGGAGGGGCATCCAAGACGTTTGCAAAGAGCTAAGATCTAATTCCAATTTTTAGTCATAGAGGTAAAAATTAACGTTACTTTTGGGAGAATTCTTGCTATAAGCAAGAGTGAAGATGGTTACAAATATTGGTAGAAAAAAAGTCTAAAAATAATGCAAAATAATTTTTACAATCAAATATATTTTTATCTCAGGGATTTTTTTCGCACACTTTACTTCAGAGAGGAATGCAGAGGAAATAGATGAAAAATGATCTTTATAAGTATTGCTACATGGGAACTAAGTATAATAAATGTTTAATAGTTTTGTGACCCTGTTTATAGTGTAAAACGTCGAGCTCATAAAAATGGCAAACCCTAAGTTTTTCTTTGATAATTCTTTTGTGGTTCTTTTCTTTTTCAGGTTTGGAAAAAAAATCATTGGAAGTCAAATCTGGCAAATATCTCCACCGGAAGATAATGTCACAGTAATTTTATTCTTCTAGGTACTCTATTTGTTATTAGGCTCAAATACTAGTACTTCCAAATTTTCCAATAACTGATCGATAAAGATATAACGATTAAATTAATGTCTAGTGGCGTTTTTAAAGCAGCTGGTACATGGATGCAGCATTTATTTTCGTATATACAATTAGTTTGTCAAGGATGTCTTTTTATGTGGCTATTAAGAATGTTTATAAAAATGAACTAAACATACTTTGTCTTCGGAGGGATAAGTATTTATGTTGCGAGTTACCTAAAACGCTTAGCTTAAAACCCTATTTTGCAATACACAAATATATATATTAAGATCGAGCAGTAAGTTAAATTAATTAATTATTTATAAACACGAAATGCATTTAAATGCTCAACTTAAGATCCTGCATTTCAATTTACTAGCATTGCAAAAATGACAAGAACTCTTATGTACATTAAATATCGTCCTTTTATTCATCCTTTTGCACCCTGGTATGGTGCGTGTCATGTTTTTGCTGTTTGCGTAATGGAATATACTTTGCCTCCTTCAGACTTTTTTTGCCGCGTGGTTTGGGCAGGAGCTGTTCATGTTCTAGCTTCTTCTTTCGCATATCCTTAAAGCCAGCTATCATTTGCATGATCAAAAAGGCTACATTGAATATGAAGAGCAGGATGAAGAGAGCTGGCAGTGCAAGTACATCCAACGAATGGCGCACAAAATAATTTTGACTGTGCGCCTCCGGACTGCTGAGGGCATCATAGATTTGAGGTTCTGTCATTAGCTTTTCGGCATGCCAGACAGCCTCCTCCACAGGCGACATGGCCCGATTGCGAAAACTAAGCTTGGCCTGATGCACGGCATCCGAAAAGTGGTCATCAAACAGGACGCGCTTCAGCGCCAATGAAAAGGAATTGTATGAGAAGCTTTTCACAGCAATTGTGATACCCAAGCTACGTTCCTTAACTCGCTGTGCATTCTACAGGATGGTATACAAAGGTTATACATCAAATAGTAACCTTAAAAACAGCTACTCACATTGATCTCATCATGAAGCATGGGAAATACCACGACGGGAATAGCATTGTATATGGCCTCCTGCAGACTGAAACTGTCGCCATGCGTTATAAAGGCCTTCACATTCGAATATGCTTTGAGAGGAAGAGAGGTAAGTTGTTATAACAAAATGAAGATGAAGAAGATTCTATTTATCATCATGCATATATATAAAAATATATATAAAATATATATATATATACGATTGGATAAAAAAATTGTTTTCTGTCAATTTTTTAATTTTTTTCAAGCATTTTGGCTTTCTCTATAAATTAATCCATTAAGGTACTTTTCCGATTTTCCTTCCATTTTTTAGTTGTTTCAATAATGATGATGAATAATGAATATAGTTTGAAATTTGTTTTTTCCATAAGCAAAAAATGCGTGAAATAACTTTTGTTTAAATATTCATTGAATGAATTCGAAAATGTTCGTTATATACGTATTGGAAAGTATGTGAGAAATAATTATAAATAAACGTATAATTGTAAGCAAAAATAGTTAGCCTAGCAAGGACTGGCAAGACCTGATAGTATTCAAATAAAAGTAGACGGGTTTTGAATACCTAAAGAACTAATCTAAGACTCTTAATTCGGCTATATCAGTATTTGAGGTATGAGATTATTTGGTGGGAACGTTTTTTGGAGGTGATTAAAAATATTGTGTTCAAAAATGAGTTGAAGTTGGTTCTGAAATAAAAATAGCCATGGCTGTGAAGATATATTTCTACACGTATTTAAACACTGATGTCGGTAAAATAAGTGGTTGCTTGAAAGCTGAAAATGGTTTGATTGTAGCTTTTCAGAAAACTTACCCAGTATGTCCTGTTGTGCTTGCGGCTCCACTTGAACGATATGCAAATTAGTCATTTTTTCAACAGGTATTGTGTTCTTGAGTTCCTCATTATGTAGATTCCATATAATGCCATAATTTCGGTACGAAGCAACCACATCGATAATTGCCGTTCGGGCCATTTCTGGGAACAGCTCTATTCGTGGCAATGATATGTATATAACGCCCTCGGAATAGTCCTCCAGGAACACTTCAACAGACTGCGACAATTCGCGGGAATGGGGGCGTATGTGCAAGCCGCCCACCTCTAAAATGTTTGGCGGCATATTCTGAACATAATCCAGAGCGGGATGGGTGTTGAGCAGCATGAGATTGACACGATGATGGAAATCATCAGTCTTGAGCAGACCTCTGAGTACTGGACTGGCTATGGCCAGGCGCAGGCTGCAAGAGAGTGAGAAAGAGATATAGATAGATGGAATCTAAGGTATATAGATATACTTACAAGACCTCCTCCAGGTAGAGCAGATGATTGTGGACGCGCTGCCAGTAGCCCATTGCGTGGGGCAGCTCGCTGATAAAGTGCGGAATATTGGCGGCATTGATGGTGTCTGATGCGCGCATTACCTTCAACAGTTCGGTGTTCAGTTTTCCGCCACTTACCCCCATCACAGGCACCTGGCGCTGCTTCAGCAGCATATGAAGCACACAATCCCAAGCATAGGTCGCATCATAGATCACCAAATCGAAATCGACCTGCAGACTCTGCATCTGATGGGAACTTGGTTTCTTTAGCAGGCGTGCCTCCAGCACGGAGCCACAGCTGCCCAGCATCGCCTCGTACCAGATTTGTAAATGCCGGAACGACCAATAGTCTCTATATTCACCCGATCCCTCGTCCACAAAGTGCTTCTTTACCACATCGTAATCGTTTTGCAGTGGAATGTGTGTGATATCCGAATTCTTCAGAACAGGTGCTGTGCTCAGCACCGTAACGCTGTGTCCACGAGCGGCCAGCGCCTCGAAAAGCGGCTGCGTCCAGGCGGGATTATCACCCTGTGGCGTCGTCACCAAACCCAATATGTTGGCCCCCCGTGCACACAACGCGCCACAGCTCAGGAGAAAGAGCAACAGCAGTTCCGACTTTTCCCATTTTCCCAACATTTTTCGAACCACTTCTCGGGTGTGCCGGCAACGGGCGACTGATTCACCGTTTTTCGTTTGTTTAAATAGTATATGCCGGCCCGATAAGATTAGAAGTCGTTGGCAAACACGCGATAAATCTATACTCGTACTATATGTATGTGTGCAGGTATGTGTGAGTGTGTAAAGTTTGTAGCGTATTTTATTAAAACGTAAATATTAAACAATGAGGCTTAAGTCATAGCTGAGCTTGTCTGCTTTTGTTCTTTAATAGATAGTGAGACGAAAGTACAGTAGAACCACCATAGCGCGGTTTGGTAAATTTTAAATTTAACAATGATTCGATGAAACTTGACGAAGTAAAGTGGCCTTATCAATTCCAATTCATTTCGCCATTTATTTAGTTATTTATTTTCATAGACAAACAATGCAGTCGATGTACTATACATAAAAAAAATCAATACAATAGAGAACTTAAACTAAGTAAAACTAAAGAAATAAAAAAGCCTATAAAAATGACAAAAATATCTAATAACAAATCCGACACGGTGGGGGAATTTTATTTGCCAAACGGCCAGAGAGTAGTCAGATACGTTATTAGACCTATCAAAAAAGAAGTGGAGATGAAAAAATATAGCAATAAAAGATAGAAGAAAACAAATTAAAATTAAAATACTTAAATAATAAAAGATAAAATATAATTAAAAATTAAATGACAAAAAATGACAAAAATATCTAATAACAAATCCGACACGGTGGGGGAATTTTATTTGCCAAACGGCCAGCTATGCCCCGATTCACAGCAGAGAGTAGTCAGATACGTTATTAGACCTATCAAAAAAGAAGTGGAGATGAAAAAATATAGCAATAAAAGATAGAAGAAAACAAATTAAAATTAAAATACTTAAATAATAAAAGATAAAATATAATTAAAAATTAAAGTTATTCACCTTTCATCACTGACCCGTTGGGGGAAAGTTTATTAGCCAGTCCACTACTCATAGATCTGAATAATTCTTAAGAGAGGTTTATAATGTAATTTAAATTATAAGCAATTGTTTAACGAATCGTTTTATATCTGCCAAACTATTCGAACTGTATCCGATCTTTATCCAAATTATATCAAATTTATCGTCTCGATTTAAGAAATAGGTAATTTCCTCATTCAGGTAAGTTAACAAATCAAAAAGATATGATTTTTATAAGACCATCAGGTCGTGTTTATTGAGGTGTAAGATCTTTAGTTCAGATCTAAGTTACAAATTTGTTCTTCTTAATACCTCAACCTGCCAACAATCACAGTTTATTTCTTTTCCCTCGGAAGCCCTGTAGACATGGTGTCAGCATTTTATAGTGTAGCAAACGTTTAGTCTTGACAAATAATATAGCCATTGTTAACTGGTATACACTCACTTTTTGAAAATCTGAAAATGCAGCCAAATCGATTTGAAGAAATTTGATAGATTTGTTATAAGAATTGTAGTTTATAAATAAATAAATAGTCTTGGAAATTTGTTCAATCTTTGTTATTTTAAAGTCTTAATAAATACAAATTGTTATTTTAAAATATTTTTAAAAATAATTGCCTTTATCAACCTTCATCAACCTTTATCAACCTTAACTTTTCAAAAACAGATATTTCTTATTCTGTCTATTCTGTCTATTCTGTCTTATCTATTCTTAAAACTTGTAAACATTTTTATTTTTTCTGCAATTATTAACAATTTTGTTGTCAGTACCATTCCTTTTCCTATTATTTATGCGTTTTGAAACATCTCAGTTTTCGAATTCAATTGAATTAGTAAATGGCAAAATAATGTAGTTTTTTGTGGAACATTTTTAAATCGAAACCATTCCACAACTTTGATTTTGCGTAATTGGATCGACTTCTAAAAAAGGAAATAGTTCTAAATATTGTGAAGAAAAATGGGGAAACGAGTCTCTGCGAGAGATTTGGCGCCAAATTCAAAAGTGCATAAACATTTCTTCAAAGATAGTACTTTTGCCTAAAAAGCTTGACTCTTTTTGTTTGTCCACTTCCATGCAGATTGATAAGATACGAAGCCTCACTGTAGAATCCACTGACACTCGATTGCTATAAAAACCAGAGAGTGCACGGAAAATGTTTCACTATCAATTGCGATGTCTCTTACGACTTTTGCGATTATACAAGTATGCACCGCTTTGTTGTGTTTGAGCTCCGCTCTCGGAGCCAATATATTAGCACTAATGGGCATGACCTCTCACAGTCATCACATTTGGTAAGAAGAATCGACGAAAATTGTATTTGCTGTACGACTAATTCGAAATTTGTAAATAGGAACAGCGTGTTGTTACACGAATTAGCCAGACGTGGTCATAATCTCACCATACTATCGGTGGACTTGCCACGAGACGACGACCCAGTGCCCGCCAATGTTAGTTACATATATTTGGAACGCGCCTACGATATGTACAATGATGTTGAGGACAAGATGACTATAGAGTATATCGTAAATGCGAACAGCTTTCAGAATATAGCAAGGACCTATGAGTATGGTTTGAGGACAGCAAAGCTTATAGCCGCCTCCCAGGGCATGCAGCAGCTGCTCGATTATCCGGCCGACTTTCACTTCGATCTGATCATTAATGACTATACGCTAGGACCATATATGTTAGGGTTTGCCCACAGGTTTCGGTATCCGCCCATTGTGGGCATTAGTGCCTATCAGAATCCTCACACAACTTTGGACTTCATGTCGAATACCTATTCGCCTGCATTGACGCCTTATCAGTGGACGGCGTATAGCGAAAATATGAACTTCCTGCAGCGCCTACATAATACACTAATATTTGCCGCCGATGTCTTGTAAGTGCTGATTCTGTTGCTGCAAACCGAATTCACAAGACTCTAATATTTGCAGCTATCGGCGTACTTTCTATAATCCAGCACTTGATGAAATTATGCGCCCCCATTTTGGCGCCGAAATGCCACCTTTGACCAAACTAGCCAAGCTTACGGTCATTGCGTTGGTCAACTCTCACCCGTCCATTGATTATGTGGAATCGCTGCCATCGCATATCATTCAAGTGGGTGGCATGCATATCGGAGAATCAAAGCCCCTGCCCAGACACCTGGACGATTTTATGCGTTCGGCTAAAAACGGAGCTGTGCTCATCTCAATGGGCACCAATGTCCAGGCCAGCGATGTGGCCGTGAAATCTTTGCACGTCATCGTGGAGGCTATTCGGCAGCTGCCCAACTATAACTTTTTATGGAAATTCGATGCAAATTATTTGAAGAATTTGGACATAAATCTACCGAATAATGTGTTGGTCAGCAGTTTCTTGCCACAGCGCGATGTCTTGGGTGAGTGATTTCTTTTTAAATAGCCTAAGCTGAGGGAGAAGAATTCTAAGCCGATTTGAAAGGCTTTATATATTTAAAACATATGAAGAGTTTCATTATATATTTTTATTATATATGTGTAAAAGTATTTTGCGTACATCAGTTGAATCTTGAATCTGATACGGTGAGTCAGAACTTACTTAATCAGACGTATTTCAATTCAAGATATTCAGCTTTAAATAAGAGTATTGGAGCTTACCGAACTATGTTTCTCTGAGTATAGCAATTCATTCCATTTTTTCGGCCATATAATATATCTTTATTCATCCAAATGAAAATATATACTAAATTCTATTATTTCTATTCAATAGCTCACAAATCATTGAGGGCTTTTGTCACACATTGCGGTGCTTTGAGCACCCAGGAGGCCACTTGGCATGCCGTGCCTATTGTGGGTATACCGCTCTTTCTCGACCAATATCGCGTAAGTGGAGTTATTTTTATCTAGCCGAGCTCCCATCCTGATATGAACTTCACTCCTTGTTTAGAACTTGCGTCAATCTATGGATGCTGGAGTGGCACTTAAAGTGGATTATGCAAGCATTAATACTAAAGATTTGGTGAATGCAATCAAGGATGCGGCAGAGAGTGAGGATATAGCCGCCGCAATGCGCAAACGCTCCATTCGATTCCGGGATAATCCATTGCCTTCTTTAGAATTAGCTGTGTGGTGGGTAGAGTATTTGTTACGTCAGCCCAATCCCGAGCATTTGCATTCCCCGGCCAAGGACATGAATATCTTTCAAATACATTCATTAGATGTTTTAGCCGCGTTGCTGTTGGTTGTGGTACTAATATATTATAAGCTTCGTCAAGTGGGAAACAAGCGCACGAAACACCATTACAGAAAATCGCAATCCAAAAAAAGGAGGTAATCGAAATGTTTGAAAAGATATACTCTGCTAAGGGACGAAGTTAAGTTTCATTTACAACTTCATTTTCCTATCTGATGACATGATAAACATTTAACTGAGATAGGCTTTAAGTTTTGATGTCTTCTCGTTTTTTTAAACAGTACAGTTCTTTTTTTCTATAATTCCTTTTTCCTGGAAATTCTGTCCCTTCCATTTCCTATAAAAAAAATGGCTATACATTAGATGCATTAGCGTCAGATACCTTTGCGTCAGATTTTAAGTTTATCAAGAATATGTTACTTCAATTAAAATTAAAAAAAGATAGCTATATAAATGCCCTAAACACACTTATAGTACCTCACGTAAATGTTGCCAGTCGGGGATTCTTTGATGATGTATACCAAGAATTTGTAGAATTCAAAAGTTAAAGAGTTGATTAAATAATCTTACAGAAGTGAAATGCACAATCTCGTCTTATTTTCATTTATAATTTATTCTAGATTATACTTCAGAAAATTCAACCATAAAGAGCTTTTCAATCACACCGATTTGATTTACTTTTGGAATTAGATTCCACTTCCTCGAAATAACAATATCGTTATAAAGTTTAGCACTTGCTATAATTTTTATTGCTATAATAATTACATCGTTTGTTACTTTGCTATAATTTCTTGGCAACGGGTGCTCATTGTTTATGTACAGAACAAACAAAAAAATATTTGAAATTCGAAAGTAATTTATATATAAATTTGCCTTTTTTAATGAACAACTATTGGCAAAGAAATCACATATCAATCGCAGGTACAATTAAATAGCTGCATTAAGTTCGACATCTAAGGGTATATGTGTGTGTGGGTGTGTGGCAGGGAGGGAGGGGAGGGGTTTCTGTCGTGTGGGACTATTTGTGGCTTAGTTGATTTGTATTTAGTATTTGTTTTATTTACTCTTGGTTAATATGGCAAGATTAATACATGAAACGATCTCAACTTAATTACAAAACAATGGAAACTACTTGTATGACATAATACTACTACGTGCTAATTAAGTGAATGTTTCTTTTTCGTTTATAAATAAAATTACATACATATACAAATATATATTAAATTAATTTAATTAACACAGACATTTGTTTTGTTTTGTTGTGTTGGAGAAGAGAGCTGGAAGTGTTGGTGCTATTAAGGTTGCTGTTATTGTTATGTACAGTTGTTATGTTTTATAATGAATGCTTAGCATAAATTGAGGCGTTGCGGTTAGTTTTGGTGCGAAGAGCAGTGTGGAGAGCAGAGTGGGAGAGATGAGAGATGGAGCAAGAGGGACAGAGAGGGGGTGTTGGTGAAGCTTCGTTTTCGTTGGTGGCTGGCAGCAACTATTCATTGAACGGCCCCGGCGCATCGTAGGGCGCCCCATTGGCCCCCACATACTGATTGTTATTGCGATGGACGAAGCCACGACCCGGCGCCGCATTATAATAAACCACACGTCGTATGCCGAAGGGATCCACGTAGCCGAAGCTGCCGGCCCGCTTGTCGCCCACCTGCGCCTCCTCGTGATATTGTCGCGGCAGCACGTACCGGAAACCGTTGCGGGTCACGCTGATGCCATCGTAGTCGGGCGCATCCAGAGCGTTACTCTGCAGCGGACGCAGACGTCGACGATAGGCGCGATCCGGCAATGGTGGCAGCAGCGCCGCCGTCGTTCCATCTAAGCTATTCACATCCAGCGGTGAGTTGGGCGTATAGTAGCCGAAATCGCCAGCGCCAGAGGGAACAGGGGCATACTGATAGCCACTTGCGGGAGCCACCGCCGGCGGTGCAAATGGCGCGGGCGTGGAGTAGCCATATGCCTGTGCCGCTGCAATCGGCGCTGGTGTGCTTGAGACTACGGCTATAGGTCGTGGACGCAGACGACGCTTGTGCGTGTCCAAGGGCGGCAGCATCGAGAGCGCTGGCGTCGCCAACGGCGGTGCAAGTGAAGCCAACACCACAGGCGGTCGTGGCGTTGTGGAGCTATAGAGACCCGGTCCATAATCCCGATCGGCTTCCTCGTCGTACACATTGATGGCATTATTCTGTGCATCATCGATTGGCTCCGCATTCGGATGTATTTGCACCAGCGGCGTCAGATCGCCCTGCAGTTGCGCATGCGCACGTGGCAGCTCATCGGGATAGTGGTCGAAGCCTAGTTGGGGACGGGGTTCTAGCTTTGCCGCCTCCTCTGGCGGCAAGTAGTCGAGCTTGCCGAGGCCTGAGGATAGCGTGGGCGTGGCTATGCTGGGTGGCTCGTACAGCGGTGGTGCAGGCGTTGTGGTTGTTGTTGTGGTGCTGCTAACATAGCCATAGTTGTGAGCTTTGTGGTAGCCACTAGTGGCGGTAACAGCCACACTATTGCCACCAGCATTGCCATCAACCAATACACCAGATTGCGCAGGCGCCGCCTTTGTAGACTTGATGGCATCCTAGATTGAAGGGAAAGGTAAGATACAATTTAATTATTAATGGGATTGATAAATCATTAATATGATCATATTAAACAGATATAGAATGTTTAAAAATTGTTTTTTTATAGCACTCTTTCTAATATATTTAGTTGGTGTTGCCTGGCTCTAGGCCCATAGTTGGTTTATTATTTTTATAACCAACTAGAAAAACATACAACACTTTCTTGAACTCTTTCTTCACCAGCAGAGGGATGATATTTATTATCAAACTGTTAGTCCGTCATTAAATCTAATTATAATATAATTTAGATAAAAAGTATTAAATAATAAAAAAGTCATTCTGTTATTGTTTTAATGCGATACAAATTGGGTATTATATAGGAGTGAAATCATTATAAGTTTTATTATAAGAAATACAAAATTATGATTATTTTTTTATCAAAAAAAAAGTATTAGTTATAATCAATATTTTATAAGTTTTATTTTTTCTGCTTAAAAATATTGATTATTGGTTGAGTTGTTATAGCTCATAACTAATTATAATATTGTGAGGAAATGGAAAAAAATAAAAAATGTTTAAAATTTTAAAAACTTAAAACATAGGCAATCCTAAAAGAAGGATATTGGTATAATCCTCGTGTTTTCAAACCTACTACTTATAAGTGAATGATTTTTAGCTTTAAGAAATCAAAATAATTCTTATTTTCGATCCCTTGTTATTATTTAAGGAATCAAAATTGCAGATGTATTTTTGGGGTCACCACAACTTAAAGACCCTAAATTCGCAAGAAAATGAAGAAAGTATGCTATTTGTTGAATTTTTCATAATTTTTTCTTCGCAACTAAGCACTTGATTAAAGGAACGTCTTCAAGCTTCAAATTAAAACGACTTTAATTAAAAAAAAAAAAATATTTTTAGTTCAAGACCTTAATGTAATCCAAGGGTTTTTATACCCTGTACCCCAAGGGTACAAGGGTATATTAGTTTTGTGCGAGTGCACATGGAACACACAGAAGGAGGCTTGGTAGACCCCACAAAGTATATATATTCTTGATCAGCATGACAAGCCGAGTCGATATAGCCATGTCCGTCTGTCCGTCTGACCGTCTGTCCGTCTGTCCGTCTGTCTGTCTGTCTGTATGAACGCAAGGATCTCCGAAAGTATAAGAGCTAGAATAACCAAACTTGGTATACAGATTCTCCTGAGACCGAGAAAGGACGAGTTTGTTCATTTTTTCTGATCCAACCCCCCACTCCCCCCCTATTAACGATTTTCTATAACTCCCGTAATTCTTGGAATTTTGAACTAAAATTTGGTAGTCACATTAGGTTAGTAATTATGTATCCGTATACCAAGTTTCATTATGATAGAATGATCGGAAAGAAAGTTATAGCCATATAACCAGGCCCAATGCACACATACATACATATGTACAAGTACACAAACACGCATAAGGCACGATTCTGATGTAAATGTAAATGTATGTATGCATGCATGGAATATTTTATATTTAATTAGTTAATATTTAGTTAATTAATTAAATTAATTTAGTTAATTTAGTTAATTAATTTAATTTAATTAATTAATTAATTTAATTACTTTTTGTGGGGTGGTACAGGGTATTTAAGAGTTGAGCCTGCTCGACTTTAGCATTCCTTTCTTGTTTATATATGCTCAATTATTTCCTATTAAAAGACCAAATGACTTTTATTTGTGATCAATTATTCGTATACTTTAAAAAAATCCATATATTGTTTGACTATCTGGCACAGTTTAAAAGTTCGCTTCTGACTATTTTGTTTTATAACTTGCGAATAAAATGAATAACTAAAGGAGAACACTTGGTTTAAATATCTTAATGCACTTACCTCTATGCCTCTGCCTTGACCCACATATATGGTCTTGGATTTCAATATGCGATAGCCCTGCTTATCAGCTATATAGTCCTTCTGCCTTAGAAAGCCAGCTGCATCGATCCAGGCCTCGGTGCCTGCAATGCGTATTGTTTAGATGATTAGCCAAACTTTCACTAATCGGCAAATGGTTGAATTAGTACGCACTTACCTATTACAGTGCCGTCCTGCAGGCGTTTCTCCTTGCGGAATTGCCCATTATCGGTTTGGAAACGGAAATAGCGTTCGGGACCCTCGTCGGTTTGTATGTGATATTGACTTTGGCTCGCATCGCCCCACGACGCAACCACCAGCGTTGTCAGCGACAGCTGCAAAGAAAGTTGTGCAAACGGTTCAGTAAACTAAACAATAATGGAAACTGCCACATCCGTACGAGTACAAGATCGCCTGAAAATTGCTCAAACTAATGAACGTTCCAAAATGACAAACTGGTGGCTGTCTAACTTGCATTTGGCTTTCCGGCAGCCACAACTTGGCCAAAGCCAAACGAGTCGCTGTTTCGTCGGAGCAGCTTCAGAGAGTTTCAGAGTCAAGGTGACAATGTTGAGATGCAACCGCAAGTCCACACGCCACTCTGTTGCGCAACAGTTGAGAGACGAGTTATCAACTTGCCGCATGGACTGGACTTGTTAACGGAAATGTGTGGCATGTGCTTGTGAAAGTGTTGGCCACAACCGGTTCCAGCAACTAACCTCAACAAACCACACGTTGCGTATACGTTACGTATGCTCGTGCCAATTTATAGCTCAGATGCACAAGGTTGGCATTTAATTAACAACTCTTCGGGCAATTACGATTATTCTATAATGCTAATAATGCCCGTCCGCACCTTACAACCATTTGTGTTCAGTTATTTTGCTGTCATAAATTTTTCGCAACTCTTCATCGACGCCCTCAGCAGTCGTCCCCTTCCCTCTCCCCTTGCCCCTTTCCACCATTCAAGTGCATGCCACTTTAGATGCCGTTGTGGGCGTCGCGACTGCAGGCGGGCGTTTAATTCAAAAGTCTTTTGTTTTGATCTTCAATTAAGCTAATTTTGTGTGCTTTTTATTATACTTATTTGTTTTTGTTCAGCCACGAGTGTTAATATTCGTTTGATTTAATGTTTTTGAATTAATTGTCGAGCTGTGCAATTTGCAGCTTTAAAGCACAGTGAAGTTATTTGAAACAGTTTATACATGTAATTTATTTTTTTTATGCCAGACTGAAAGATTGAATGAAGAAAGAAAATAAAAGAATTTTGCGATACTGAGCATCTGATTGCGGTTGCTTGGCTTTACTGTCTAAAGTCAAAAGTAATTTTTAAAATGTGAACATATGCTTTGAAAGATCAATTGGTTTATTGGTGGTAGCCGATGTTTATACAAGTATAATAACACTTTAAGCAAGTTTAATTAATTTATTTTAAGCGCATTTAAGTACAAAGAAACTATGCGCACAGTTTAAATACTTAGTACGTTTTAATTAAATAAATGAAAGAAATTAAATTTTGTTACAAAATATAACATTTGAAGAAAATGAATACTTCATCGAAATTTAAGGAAAAATTAAACTTGTTCTTAAAAATATTTAACTAACAATATAAGATGTTTAAAGTACAACAAAATCTATTAAATCAAACGTTTAAGAAATAGGTTAAGTAGGTTAATCAAATCATTTTAAATGTTATCAAAGGAAAGTTTTATATTTTGAAACTAGAATTTTTCTTAGCGCACTAGGAAAACAAGAAATAAATAAATATAAATAAAAAACAATTTTGAAAATAGTGTTTCCTGATAATTTGGTCAAAGAGCACCTAAAGAACTGCTATTTCTCAGGATTTAGCAAATGGAATTGGACTGCTATTATTATAATTATTTGTAACTCTATATATTTATTTGCTTGGTAGATATGTTATCAATTAAAAAATATGTACAACTCTTTGTTTGTGGATGTCATCTAAAACATCAGGTTGCGGTTAATGTAACCTAATTGTTATACGTACAATTTTAAAAACTGGAACTATAGCTTATACACGTAGTTTTTCAATATCGTTTTCTAAATTAATTTTTTTCTACTATATCCCTTTTAAATTGTTTTTAACCGATATTTTTCGGGATCTTTAAAGAAATTGTAACTCAACTTTCTTCGTGATTGTCATTTATTTCTACACACCTTACTTTTTCGCCATGAACACAACTTTAATAGACGTGTTTCCCATGATGATCTTTTGATGACATCTTTAAGGTACGAATGCTCACATTAGCAATTGAAATAAGACTACGATTGCATGTATTTGCAGATGAGAAAAAAATTGGGGTTTTAATTTAATTATTCAGGTTTTTTTTGGCGAATATTATCTATTCAATCTGTCACACCCAATAAGCTTTTACTTTAGCCAGAAATATTTATATCCAATTAATTTTAAATGCTGACTAAGGTGCATGTAGTATGTCATCTTGACTTGACTTGGAAATGAAATGCAAACATCAATCATGCACGGCTTATTTACTCGTATTTCAGAATTTCAATTGCATCATCTTAATTAAGCAATGCTTGCTTTAGAGGAAACTTGTTGGAACTCGCCCCTTTCCCCTGATCTAGAATATTTAGCTAATGGCATAGATTTATGTGCCCTTAAGGCTAATTGTTTTGTGATTTATCATTCGGAGATGATTTTCATTTGTCTTTCACTGTAGAGAACAGAGCATGGAACGAACAAGAAATTGCATTTTTAGGCGAGAAAGAGAGAGGGAGAGACAGAGAAAGAGGGAGCAGTTGGAGAATTTTTTAAGCTGATTTATTTGTGGTTAGAATGTCAAAGTCAGTCCAAAAACAAGACTATTGTTTAGGCGCAGATAGGTGTAATGCTTATATTGACTTCGAGAACAGGCTTAAATGACTAAGGTCAGCCTGGAGAGTAAATAAAATGACGGATCGAATTCGTAGTCAGATATTTATTTAGATTGAAAAGCTTTTTATACTCTGTACATGAAATGTACAAGAGTATATTAGGTTTGCGGGAGCTGAAAAATGTAACAGGCAGAAGGAGGCGTGGCAGACCCCACAAAGTATATATATTCTTGATCAGCATGACGAGACGAGTCGATCTAGCCCTGTCTGTCTGTCTGTCCGTCTGTCCGTCCGTATGAACACCTGGATCTCAGAGACTTTAAGAGATAGAGACACCAAATTTTGCACAAAGATGCGTTATGTGTGTATTCTATACGAGTTTGTTTTATTTTTTTGATTTTCCCCCCCACTTCCCCCCTATGGGGGTTTTCCCGATTTTCCATTCGTATAATCGCCTATATCTCGGAGACTATAAGACCTAGGAACACCAAATTTTAGTCCCAGATGCCTTATGTGAATACGCAGAAAATGTACATTTTGGAATTTCCCTCCCTCCCCCCTCTACCCCGCAAATCGTAACTCCCGTAATTCTTGGAATTTCGAACTTAAATTTTGGAAATACCCCCAGTTGGTTATTATGTGTCCGTATGCCAAATTTCATTATGATAGACCGATTTAACAAGAAGTTATAGCCATAAATATATTTGCTGATGCAGCGCTGCTGCAGCGCTGCTCAAGCGCTGCCCGCGGCTGTTGTCGATGTTGCTGTTTGGTTGACTGCGAAAATGCTTACACAGACACGAATTGATGCGCATAGGCATACATACACTCACACAGACGCAATTGCTATGTAAATGTGCAATTATACACCCTTTACGTGAGTTCGAATACCGAGAGAGGTAAAATCGACCAAATTTTTTTTTTATTTTCTTAATTTTTTTATTTTCTATAATTATTGTAAACATATGTACAGAGTATTTCAAAGTCGGGACACCCGACTTTAGCTTTTTTACTTGTTTCACTTGGGTTTTGTTTTCAAAAGTAATTTTACATCGTCTGCCTTAATTTTGGGCACAATTTAAGCCTAATTACATAAATTAATATTTATTAAGGAATAATTTTCTTCTCCTCCCAATTCTAAAAACTTCTGCAGAAATCCTTCAGTCTATGTGTTTGTATTGAGGTAAGTTGTTTCAAAGACTATAAGCGTATAAGCCCTCCGCTCCCTCTTCTTCTAGTTAGTCATGATAAGTGTAGTAGCGACTTGTGTCTTGGTAAATGGTTAAGCATTCACTGAACTTGTTTTCCATTATTTTCTATTCTCCTTTATTTGTAGTAAGAGATGTGCAAACATCCAGAACATTCGATTGGGAAAACAACAAGATTGATCGAGCAAATTATATTTCTTTAGATGAACTATTCTGTAGTGATTAGAACTTAAAAGACGCAGCTTTTAATTTTTGCAATGAATGCCTTCTAAAGACAAACTTCTTCTTCTGCCTTATTTTTGTCATTTTTGAAAGATGACCAAAGCTAGTCGCTAAACTAGTCTAAGGAACACAAATAGGCAGGACAATCATATAATTAAATGCGTCAACTCTTTCACCATCTCCAAAGAATGCGTCCCAGCTTTGAAAATCGTTAAGCCACTGGAATTTTAATGCTGTCCTTGCGAAGGTAAGTAAATTTTACAATTAATATATAACGAACCAACTTTCTCAGTCATTTTCAAATATTTTATAGCAATTTATTGTGTTGGCAAATCATTTTATAATGTACTCGTATGTAATTCCATGTAAGTGCCACAAATTGCGGGCAGCGAAATTTATTTGATTTAGCAACGCGACGCAATAAATTGTTATGGCCATTTCCGTTATTGGGCAAAAGATTGCGGGGCAGGCCAAATGAAACGAGAGTAAAAGTGCCAACAACAACAACAATAACAACAGCAGCAACAGCAAGAGCAATAATAACAAAAACAAACAAGAAAGAAAGACGAAGCAACTCGAGGCTGTTGGCCACATTTGAGAGCAAAGATCTGAAAGAAATTGCTAAAAATTTACGCTGTTACTCAACCGGTTAAATGTGGCGCGGTTGTGGCTGCGCCTGCGCCTGTGCCTGTGCCTGTGTCTGTATTTGTGTCTGCGTTGGTGGCAACTACGAACAGGCAACATATGTTGCATGCAGCATGCTGGCTGCAGTTACGTGAGAATCGTACGCTGCTTCATTTTTGTTGCTGTTGCATGCTTTTTGTTTTGGGCGCAAAAATCAAAAGTGGAAAATCACGTTTTTCTCGGCGCGCAATTCGAGTGCAGTTTTCTTCATTTTTGTTTTGTTTACCTTAACAGTTGTTGTTGTTGTTGTTTTTATTGTTGTTGTCGTTGTTGTTGCAGCCACAACTGCTAATGGTAACAAAGCCTTTCGGCCATTGCGCAACTTTATTTTTGGCGTAATTTACGCAGCCATAAGGCCACAA